CGGGTGCGCCTACCTACTGGGCAGCAGATTCAAGAAAACATACATTATTGACATCGCTGAAACAAGAAGACTACAGCTATGCGAAAACCCGGCGGAAACATAAGGAAACTTTACGTAATTGTCATAAACCCAAATAAACAAAGATCAACAGGGCGAAATAGAAAAACTGTCTTCCACCTGATTTCCGCTGAAGAAAAACTTTCTTCCACCTAATTTCCGCTGTAGAGAGCTTACCCAGATCTCCAGCCACCAATCGAACCCCATCTGCTTTTAAGATCCCAATTAGGAGTATGAGTGCGAGCTCCAAAGAAAAAGTTAAAATCTTTGCCTTTAACTTACAAAATGTCTTCACCTGTCAATAAATAATTCACTATTCCAGACGTCCCAAACCTATAGGCCTCTACCCCAAAAAAAAACTCCGGGCTATGACATTAGGGAGGGGGTGTGTTTTAAACAAACTCTGATCATCTGAGAGATTGCGAACACACCTTGGTAGGAACAGTTTGATTTTCTCGTACCAGTTTGGCTTCAGAAAAAAGCATGGGACTATCGAGCAGAGAAACTTCATAATATCTGAAATACGTGTGGCCTTTGACTTACCTAGACATATCCCAAGAATTTGACCGCGTTTGGATCAACGGCTTTGTTTACAAAATCAAGATCTTTCTTCAACAAAATACTCACAATTTTCCCAACTTGTATACCAGAAACAGGCTCTTAAGATGCAATAAATTGCTGTAGCTGTAGTTTCCCAGGAAGCGTACTAGGACCAATCTTGTACATTCTATACACTGTAAACAATCCTGCAAGCCGCCAAAACGCTGACGACACTGCTTACCACATAGGCAGTCAGCTTACCTGGAGGAAACTTATAGAGGACCGGAATAAAATTAAAGTTCAGCTCTTTTCCATTTTCAAATAACCTCTAACTAGCCTACAAAGTACTACTTTATAAACCCTGTTTAAAACCAATATGGACGAACTTTGGGCCAACGCAGGTAGCAGCAGTAAAGAAATCATCCAACGTGCGCAATCGAAAATTCTGAGAGCACGGCCGCTTGGCCGCTTAAGAATTCTTCGTCATCATTATTTGTAAAACCTTTATTTGTGTCTTTCTGTCCAAGGTAAAAAAGGACACTTTGACAACACCGATTAAAACAAGAAAGGAAACCTCGGATATAGTTTGCCGATCCTTATGAGAGTGTCATAAGAAAACTAATTTATTAAAATACAAAATTAAAAAAAAAAAGTCCAAGCTTCTATTCTCAAAAATGCCAAAGTTGGCATGTTTTATCAAATACCAAAGAGCTATTTTTCTAACACCAAAGTTATAGCATTTCCGAACAATCAGTTATATGACAGCTATAGGATATAGTCGGCCGATCTCGTCCGTTCCGACTTATGCAAAGGAAAAAATGGTAAGTTTCAAGTCGATAGCTTTAAAAATTAGAGACAAGTTCGCGTAGAAACAAACAGACAGACGGACATACTCATATCAACTCACGAGGTGATCCTGATCAAGAATATATATTAATATAATAATATAATATAATATAATGTATAGGGTCGAAAATGTTTCTTCACTGCGATGCACCTTTTTAAAAAAAATTATAATACCCTATAATACCCTCTGCAAGGGTATATAAATTTGTTCGAAATGGCGTGGCATATTTTTGACATTAACTTGATTAGTTAGTGAATTTTGCTGAATTTGAATGTATTAGTTTTCCAGACAATATTTCCAATATCTTGTTTTGGACGAAACCCTACGGGTGTCGAACCGCCTTCCTAAGCGTCCGCGAGGGAACACCATAAATGGACGAGGAATTAACGATTTTTTGTTTGCGTTAAATATAAATTAGTCATAGAAATAGTTAGGCATCGAAAGTTTTTCAAAATACCTATCTGCATTGGCGCCAGAGAAATATGCATGGGACGTGGTAAAAATTTGTCAAACTTTGGGCACTTTATTGGTAGTATAGAAGTCTTCATGCCAAATCCTGTAGCTCTATCTCTCTATTATGGCTATTTCGACTCGGCTGTTGATGAAGATCAAGAATATATTCTCTTTCATACCTACATTGCCACGAATACAATATAACCTTGCACTATGGGGTTTTTTACCACTTTGTGTGGCATTTAATCATTTTTTGAAAGTTCTCTGATTTAAAAAAAATTAATGGGAATGTATTAAGAAAAAATCAAACTATTATGCCTCATACTCAAAATGTTAATTCTTAACAGCGTATGTTAGCATAACAGTCAGCTGTTGCATCCGAAAGTACGTGCGCTAAGTTTGAAATTTTCACATATTGATCTGTGAAATTAGATTATTTGTTTAAAACTCCATTTAAAAAGAAAAATAGTAATGGGCACTGATTTCACAGGTTTATACTACATGTTAAATGTATTAACTGTTTAAATTGTGCGTGTCTATACTAACATTTGGTCATTTTATAGATGCACCTTAAGCTGCATTTTGGGAAACAAATTTCAACTTTGGGAAGAATTTTGAAATAGAAGGACTAGAAAGTTTTCAATGCGTCCAAGTGTATGTTGTAGCGTTGTCAATACTGAGCAAAGGCTGTTAGTCTTATTGTGCACTTTTCTCCACTATTGGTGCAATTTGAATTTTTCTTAGATAACCTCACTTTCTCCAAAGCCGATTTGGTCGTTTTTGGAACAGCGAAAGGGGCCAGGCTGAACAATAAATGGCTGTACAATGTTTTTTTGAACGCCATGCAAATGAAAATGTGGATAATGCCGTTTTGAAAAAAAAAAGACACCAATTTTCAATGGAAGTAATGGAAAATACGGTGCTTCCAGTCGGCTATTTTGGAGAAGCTGAGTCCTGAAACAAGCTATATAAATTAGACAGGCGTCACCACTCAAGAAAGCACAACCGATTACATTCCTTCGCTGATGTGTTCAAAATAGCTATGGATACATCAGATCCAATTATTTCGTCCTTAATTTATCGAGATGCATAAAAAACTAAAGTCTTATACTTTCAATTGAGGTAATTGAGATGCTTTCGTACGAATACGAAAATAATGTTAGATAATATTGATATATTATAGAAAATGAAATAAACCAATAAAAAGATTAATACTACTGTTTGAAGGAATTTTTCTTTTCCAACTTTTATATGCATTTGTATGGAAGAACACTGAAATCCGGTATTTTAAACTGATAGTTCCCAGGGAAAGCGTTATCCGATTTGGTTCAAAATTGCTATATCGTATTAAAATAGCAACAAATATCAGCTCCTTAAATTTCATTAATTTATCTTTACTTTTGCCAAATCGTTCCTATGGGAGCTATAGGATCCAAAACTGACCGAGTTATTAATTAATGCCACAAAAACAGGTCAAAAACCCCATAGTGCCCATAGTGACTCTACGAGTACCTGGTATTAAAGAAAAGAAAAATATGGAAATAAAATTTTAAATATGGAAATATTAGAAAAATATTTTTTTTGGGGAAAATAGCAACAAAATATCTACAGGAATTTTGGATAACCAAATACTGCAATACGTACAATATGAACGTTTTCTGATATTAATATACATTCTACCTAGTGTCTCTATTGTCCGTAATATTAAGAAAATTGTAAAATTTTTACTTTCTTCCAAATTAAACATTTAACAAGAAAGAAAAGCTAACTTCGGGCGGAGACGAAGTTGATATACCCTTGCAGATAAAACCGGATATATATCGCAAACATCGAATATAGTTGGCCAAACCTTATGAGAATATCATAATAAAATCAATTAATTACAATAAAATATCTTAAAACAAGAAAGGAAAGCTAACTTCGGGCGGAGCCGAAGTTGATATACCCTTGCAGATAAAACCGGATATATATCGCAAACATCGAATATAGTTGGCCGATCCTTAGATTACATCATAATAAAACCAATTAATTACAATAAAAAATCTAAAAAAAAGTTCCAAGCTTCTATCTTCAAAAATACGAAAGTTGATATTTCTACCAAATACCATTTCCAATCGTTCAGATACATGGCAAGTATAGGATATAGTCGGCCGATCCTAATGAAATTTGATAGGTTGGATGAAATTGGAAAAATAGATGAAAATCAAATGAAAGAATAGAATCTGTACTAAGTTTCAGCTTTCTATCTTCAAAAACACGAAAGTTGGGTCATTTTCGATCGTTCAGTTATATGGCAGCTATAAGATATAGTGAGCCGATCCTTATAATATTTGCCATATCGTATTTTTTTGTCAAAAGCTCTCATGTAAAATTTGAACTCTCTAACTCTTAAAAAATCGAAGTTATTCCATTTCCGATCAATCAGTTATATGGCAGCTATATGATATACTCGGCCGATCACAGTCGTTCCGACTCATATACTGCGTGCAAAGGAAAGAAGAGTGTGTGCAAAGTTTCAAGTCGATAGCTTTAAAACTGCGAGACTAGTTTGCGTAGAAACAGACAGACGGACAGACAGACGGACATGCTCATATTAACTCAGGAGGTGATCCTAATTAAGAATATATTATCCTGATCAAGATCAAGGGTCGGGTATGTCTCTTTCACTGCACACATTTGACCAAAATTATAATACTCTTTACAAGGGTATAAAAATACATGTCTATGCCCATAATTATTTTTAGAAGTAAATTATAGTTTTTTGAAAAAATTCTGAAATAAATGTATAAATATCAGGGACCGTAAATAATAATGGTTCAAAGTTTTTTTTATTTCGCTCAGAACATAATAGATCTTTTTGATATTTATTGTTTTACTCAGAATATGAACTTTTTGTCATTTTTTAAATAAAACTCAATGATTACGGTCTCTGATATATATATATAAACTATTTCGCCTAGATATATTGAAGGTAATTTTTAAAACTTTTCAAATGCAATCATTCTGGAAAATGCAGAAAAGAACTATCTCTATGTCAACATATCTCTATTGCCGACGATGTTACCACATTTGTTGAACCCACCATCAATAAATATATCATTGCTTTTGTCAATTGTAAAGAAACTTAATTCATTTCAAAATGAACAAACCGCTTTACACAATTACAAAGTTATCAATTTGCTTCCAAAACACTTAGGCAATAAACTCATATGGAATCGGAGCCAAAGCGATGGGCTCCTCCAATTTTTTTACGAAATGGGCCTTTTTTGGTTGCTCCGGCTGCCGCTTTAGAGTAACCCACTGGCCTTTCTCCTTAGCTTCCTTCAACAAGCGCTCGTTCTCTTTGACGCGGCGAAGAAAGTCCTCCCGACACTTGGAGTGGTGAATGTGCTCAATGCGTACGTTAACACGCTTGGCAAGGATCTTGCCGCGCACCCGTTTGTTTACAATAACTCCAACGGCGTGTTGTGTTACATTGAAGATACGACCAGTCTTGCCATGGTAGGCCTTGTATGGAAGGCCCTTTTGAACTGCCCCGTGACCCTTAATGTCGACGATGTCTCCTATTTTGAAAACGCGCATGTACGTCGACAAGGGAATAACACCATGCTTCCGAAATGGGCGAGAGAACATATCTCGGGTGCCGCGGCGATATCCTTTGGAGTTCGTCATCTTGGTGCGTTAAGATTCCTGCGGGAAATTAAAACGTTGAGAAAATCATCCCAGCTATGAATTTTAACTTAATTTGAAGTATTCCATCAAATACTGCTAACCTTCTAATATATCGACGTCCACGCGGTCGTAAGGCTGAGGAAAAAGAAAGAAAAATGGCTACTCTCCTAGTGCTGCCAGATCAAGGAAAGACCGTGACACTTAACAGGGCTGCACCTACCAGTGTGCGAAATTTTGCAAATTGTTTGTAATATTTATTTTCATTTATGTGGGATTATGAATTATTTATATGTAATTAAACAGATAACCAAACAAGAACGCTGCCTAGATTTTACCTTTGAAATTAGCATTCTAATCAGTAGTGTTAATCTATACAATAAAATGAGCTCTAATTTCCGGCAACGCCGCTAGAGTCCCAAGCTCGCGCATTTTACAGCACATATTCATAACATTTGCAACACTGAAACTTATAAAAAAAATGAATAATTAATTTTAAACGTAAGTTATTATTTACGATGGAACTTATCTTAAGTGCATTTTTGATTATTTACATATGTACATACGTAATTATATAAATATTTACATTTGCACAACATCTTGTCTTGCTAGCTTTACGATGGCACTTATTTTAAGTGAATTTTCGATCATCTATGTATGTATTTAGCTAAATATTTACATACATACTTATGCATATACATCTGCACATTCATACATACATCTGCACCTGAACGTGCATCTTGTAACCTTACAGTGCCAGCTTTTATTTGATTGTTAGATGTTATGTATCTAAAATGTTATGTATTAGATTACATATGTATGTCATTGTTTTTTTTTGAAATTTCGAATTGGATTAACACGGAAAATATTTTATGTAAATTTGACTTGAATTTTAACATACAAAACATACATTATAGAGCAATAACATACCAATGTACATGTATGTATGTGGTATATTGAATTACCATACTCGCATTGTATGTACATACATTGTGTTACATATGTGTAAGTAAATCATGACAATAAGTTAGAAAAAAAGACGATACCTTTACAGGGAAAGGAAATAAAAGGAAGTTTGTTTTTTAGGGCATTGCACTTCCAGCTAAACGTCTCCTCACTGCTCGACTACAAAAAACCAATGGGAAATGAAAGCAGCAGGCTGAAGCTGAAAGGCATAACTACTTACAAAAATGTAGTGCAGGAAAATGATTTCTGGACGCTGTATAATGGCGAGTGGCCTTCGCCCTCAGAAGCAGAGGGACATTGTCAACTACTATCGATTTTTGAGGAGAAAACTTTTGTATCTGGAGGCCTGTGGGCGGATGGTCCAGGACCCTTGGAAAGAGCAATAAAGGTAAGAGACGCCTCTTACAAAAAAGGTTATCCAATGAATGTAATATTTCAGAATTTTATGGTCTACCGACATCCGTACATAATGAGGTATGTGGCGACGTGGGAGCAGTCTGGACTTAAGTTCCTTGCCACAGAAAGGGTCAGCCCGCTCAACGACGTTCTTCTACAGCAAAGCAATATTCAAATTTGCCTTGGTCTGCGCGCAATATTGTGTAGTCTCATATTTCTGGTGGAGACAGCTTTAGGAAGACATTTTAATATATGCACGAATTCTGTTTATGTGTCTGTTAGTGGAAGTTGGCGACTGGCAGGTTTTTCATATGTATGGACAGCCAAAGATATTAACAAGCGCTTGCTGGAATTTATCCCTTTATTAATGGGCACAAATAACAATGGAGAAAATTTTGAGCAGTTCGCTTTTGCTACGATGTGCGAAGAAATTTTTGAAAAAATACGTTCTGATGAGACGGATGTACCTTATGTCCATGAGTTTCGGGAATACTGTAGGGCACATTTAAAACATCAAAACAGCCAGCTTAGGCCAAAACTCTCTGCAGTCTTACTGCACCCTTATTTTAATCATGAATTTGCGGTAATACATTCTTTTCTTTTTGAATTGCCGCTGAAATCAGTCCAAGAGCGACACACGTTCTTTTTAAATTTAGTGGAGCGCCTACGGTGTTTTGAAGAAAAAATGGTAGCATCACTATTGGCTAATGACTTACTTTCTAGGATGGTCCTACTGGATTCCACGGCACAGCAACATGTTACTCCCTATGTGCTGCGTACAAAAACTTTAGACAGAGCTACGCCATTATTTACCCCTCAGACGTATGTTCAATATCTGTTGCCTCACATACTAAAAATGTTTAGACTCAGGGATGGACAGATTCGATTAATTTTATTAGATTTTTTTACGGAATATATTTGTCTTTTAAGCGAAGATCAGTTGCAGAGAGAAATTCTTCCTCATTTACAGCTTGGTATGAACGATACAAATGAAGTTTTAGTGGCTAAGACAATAAGGTGCATGGCTGATTTAGTTCCCATTATGGGAGCAACCAAAGTACTTGGCGGCGAACGTCGCCGATATTTTTCCGATGGGCGACCTAACGCAGCTGTGCCTATAAAAAACACTAAAGAAATATTGGAACCGCGGTCAATAACTCCTTTAATGAACATTAACTTCGTAGACGCAGACGACAAAGAATTTATGGTCTCTGGCAGTCCGTTGCCATCTGACAATAACCATACATTGTTACCACTTCGTCTTAGTCCCGACGGTGGTGAGGACGACCATGAAAAAATTAATTTAAATGATAAATCATTTGAAACCACCTTTAAACCCAATTCTGAAACGAACTTTATTAACTTTCCTATAGAGCACGAAACAACTAAACTTGATTTCGGAGAGGAAGATGTTTGGTCTGATTGGGAAAATACAGATGCAGCACCGAACTTGCAAGCCACCAGCTGTACCACTTCACAAGTGGCAAAAGAATATTTTACAGACCATCAACTTCGTTCAATTGTCTCAAAAGAATCCAACTTTTCGGCGACCCAAATGGATCCAAAGAATATGGATGATCTAAGTGCGTTGGATATACAAGTGCAGTCAAAGGACCAATCGGAGTGCTTAAGTGAAGTTGATTATTTTAAGGACATGGAGCCTGTTATCCACAGAACAGAAAGAGACAGGCAATTTTCGGATTCTATTAAAATAGATTCTAGCCGTTTTGCTGCTGTTCCATTATTTACCGGCTTAGATATAGATAATACGGATGTAGGCTGGGGGCATAACTTACCAGATGAAGATATGGACTTTAATGTCACCGGCACACCCTAAGTTGGTTTTTATCAAGATTATTTGTGCCAATTTCGCCCACGTTCTTCAATGTTTTGATGGAATGTAAAAAGCAATCAGCATAATAAATATTTTCACTGTCTTTAAAGAAAATGTAAATCAAGAACTTTGAAAGAAATTTTATTTTAAAAATAAAAAATGTTACAAAAAAAACGAAATCAAATTTTTGCCAAACAATTTAACTTTATCACATTTTTTATACCAAGATTATAAAGTAGAAAATAACCAAACTTTAAGGTTTAAAATAAAAAGCATTAAATTTAAACTATAGAAAATGAATTGAAATATGAAATTCACATCACGGCGGTACAGTTATATCCGATTTTTGTTTTATATCCCACTCAGCTATATTTGAACACGGATGCAAGCCTCACATGTGATTGTATTTGTGTGGGCACAATAGAGGCAATGAAGCAAATGTTTTTCTATGCTGTAAATGTTATGCTGTTTTTAGATTCGAGGTGGACTCAGAAAATGCGAAAAACTGCACATTAAGACTATATTCATTTAAAAGAGGATAAAACACTCTATAACACATTATGAATATTAAAGTACGACTCAGTGAATCTTTTTTTTGTATCTCTATTCAAAGCTTATATTCCACATATAAGTTAAATATCCTTTTAAGGGGTATCCAAAAAAACCCAAAAACAAACAGATCAATTCCTTTAATAGACGTACACAAAAACTTACTGCAAGTCCCACTGATTCGATTGCATACAAAATATTTGAAATTTAAATCTTTTTAGCTCCTAAAGATATTACAAAGAGCCAATAATATGATTGCCAAGCCAAGTGTTATTTTCTGGTAATAACAGTAAAATTTAATAGCTTATATCTTAACAGTGGTTTAGTCTATTAACTTTTTCGATATTGCAGCTTCATGTTATCTTAAATAAGAAATGAAAGCAACTTCGGGCGGAGCCAAATTTGGTATACCCTTGCACTTAAAACCGGATATATATCGCAAAAATCGGATACCAAAAACCATTTCCGATCGTTCAGTTATATGGCAGCTATAAGATATAGTCGGCCGATCGTTATTAAATTTGGTAGGTCGGATTAACTGTATAATCTGTATAAAAATATAATCTGTACCAAGTTCCAGCTTTCTATCTTCAAATCACGAAAGTTGGGTCATTTTCGATCGTTCACTTATAAGGCAGCTATAGGATATAGTCGGCCGATCCTTACAAAACTTGTCGTATTATGTCGTGCATGTCGTATTATTTTGACAAAAATAGCTCTCATGTAAAATTTGAACTCTAAAAACACCGAAATTATATCATTTCCGATCAATCAGTTATATAACAGCTATAGGATATAGGATATATACTGCGTGCAAAGGAAAGAAGGGTGTGTGCAAAGTTTCAAGTCGATAGCTTTAAAACTGAGAGACTAGTTTGCGTAAAAACAGACAGACGGACAGACGGACATGCTCATATCAACTCACGAGGTGATCCTGAACAAGAATATATATACTTTATAGGGTCGGAGATGTCTCCTTCACTGCGTTGCACACTTTTGACCAAAATTATAATACCCTCTGCAAGGGTATAAAGGTACATAAATACATTCACATAAGTGGTCTGCATGAATAGGTAAAAAACGACATTCAAATGCGCAACCTATTTCCTCTATCTATTATCTAACTATTTCTAAACTAACTATTATCCATTTTAGCTATGGATAAACATAATTTGAAAATATGTGCAAATCTCCCTGATTGAACCAACTCATAGATAGAGAGTGAGAGAAGAAAAAAATAGAAATAGAACAAAACAAGAAAGGAAAGCTAACTTCGGGCGGAGCCGAAGTTGATATACCCTTGCAGTTAAAACCGGATATATATCGCAAACATCGGATATAGTTGGCCGATCCTTATGATTACATCATAATAAAACCAATTTACTAAAATACAAAATCTAAAATAAGTCCCAAACTTCTATCTTCAAAAATACGAAAGTTGATATTTCTACCAAGTACCATTTCCGATCGTTCAGTTATATGGCAGCTATAGGATGTAGTCGGCCGATCCTAATGAAATTGGGTAGGTTGGATCAACTGGCTAAAAATATAATCTGTACCAAGTTTCAGCTCTCTATCTTCAAAAACACGAAAGTTGGGTCATTTCCGATCGTTCAGTTATATGGCAGCTATAAGATATAGTCGGCCGATCCTTATGAAATTTGGCATGTCGTAATGTGTTGCTAAAAATAGCTCTCGTGTCAAATTTGAACTCTGTAACTCTAAAAACACCAAAATTATACCATTTCCGATCAATAAGTTATATGGCAGCTATAGGATATAGTCGGCCGATCCGGGCCGTTCCGACTTATATACTGCGTGCAAAGGAAAGAAGGGTGTGTGCAAAGTTTCAAGACGATAGCTTTAAAACTGAGAGACTAGTTCGCGTAGAAACGGACAGACAGACAGACGGACAGACAGACGGACAGACGGACATGCTCATATCAACTCAGGAGGTGATCCTGATCAAGAATATATATACTTTATAGGGTCGGAGATGTCTCCTTCACTGCGTTGCACACTTTTGGACAAAATTATAATACCCTCTGCAAGGGTATAAAAATCGCGTAAAAATGGTAACCGCTAATTTTAATTAATTAATTATTTATTATTAACAATGAACTGTTATTACTATATTATTATAACTAAGAGTAAGGATAAATTAAGTTAAAAGATATTCCATAATTTTGGATTTAATTACATCTAGGGATAGTTCAGGGGACATTAAATGGGATAACGAGTTATAATTTTTACAAATAACGCGGAATGGATCGTGTTCCGTGAAATTAGATCTAGAAATCGGTAACCAAAGGGGTCGGAATGATCTAGTTGCTCTATTAGGCACAGAAAACATTAATTTTTTAAGAAGTACTTGTGAGTCAACCTGTCCAAGAATAAGCACATGAAGCAGCATAACCCCAGCACAAGTACGGCGCTCTTTTAAAGGAGGTAGGTTTAGTAGTTTTAACCGGCAATTATACGACGGGACGGAAGTGGCAGTATCCCAGTTTAAGCCTTTTAACGCAAATAGCAGAAACTGCTTTTGGACTGATTCAATCCTCCTTTGGTGAACAAGGTATTGCGGACTCCAAATGCTAGAACAGTATTCCAAGATAGGACGAACCAACGATACGTATAGAGTTTTAGTTGTGAAAGGATCATCAAATTCTTTAGACCATCGTTTGATAAAAGCAAGCACGCCTCTGGCTTTATTGACTGTTAGTAATATGTGGTCGTTGAAGGACAACTTATTGTCAAAAATTACTCCAAGATCGTTAATTAGGAAAACACGATCTAAGACGTTATTCCCAAGAGAGTACGAAACGATGTGAGGCACACTCCGATTGAACGTCATAACCTTACACTTAGAGCAGTTAAGCAAAAGGAGATTGTTTGAGCACCACATGAAGACTTCTTTAAGGTCTAGTTGCAAGTGTCTATGAAGGAAATGGTCTGAGAAAGAAAGACATAACTTGACATCATCAGCATACATAAATGTAGTAGCATAGTTTATAACACTAGGTAAATCGTTGACAAAAAGAACAAACAGAAGAGGTCCTAAGTGACTACCTTGTGGGACACCAGATGAAACATTTATGATCTGTGATGAACTGTTTTTAAACAAAACACGCTGCGTGCGGTTCGATAGATAAGAGGTCAACCACTGTACTATATGAGGAGAAAACCCCAAAAGACATAGCTTATGAAGGAGGAGATGGTGGTTAACAGAGTCAAACGCTTTACTAAAGTCAGTGTACACCACATCAGTTTGTATGCGGCTCAGAAAACCTCTGTGGATAAACGAAGTGAATTCAAGAAGGTTAGTTGTGGTAGAGCGATGCTTGACAAAACCATGCTGTGAAGTGGAAATAATACTTTTACAAAAATGTTGCAGTTGGAAAGTAACCAGTTTCTCAAGCAGTTTGGGAATCGCAGATAGCTTAGCAATCCCCCGGTAGTTCTCAATAAGTTCTTTTGAGCCTTTCTTATGAAGCGGAATAATAAAAGATTCATTCTATCTCTTGGGGAGACATGCCAGCTCCAAGGATAAGTTGAATAAGATAGTGAGAGGATAGCACAGGATATCAGAACAGTACCTTAGAACACAGCTAGGAACATTGTCAGGACCAGCAGAGAATGATATATCTATTGTTGAAAGAGCTTCGAACAGATCCTGAATTCGAAATTTTGTAAAGTAAATGTTGTTTATATGTGGTAATTTGTAAGGATAAGTAGAATTGTGGTTATATGAATCGGACGAATAGGTGGTTTGAAAAAATGACGCAAAGAGATTAGCAATACCTTGCTCAGAAGAATGTGAAATATTTTTATATGATAGGGAAGGAGGAAAAAGATTTGATTTACGTTTCATATTGACAAAAGAGTAGAAGGAGCTTGGATCATTTCGAAAGTTTACCTTACAATTCCTGATATACTGCTTATAGAGTAGATCGTTGAGAATAATAAACTGGTTGCGAACATAAAGAAAGTTTGACTGGTGGCACATCGATCCTGACTTAAGAAACTTTTTGTAAGCTCTGGATTTCCTGTTCTTAAGACGAGAAAGGTGTTTATTATACCTAGGTGGTTTTGTAGACAATGATACAGGGACTTCCGGAACAAATTTGTTCAAGGCATTATGAATTATTTCGTAAAACGAATCCGTAGCTGCTTCAATTGTGTTTATAGATGAAAGAAAATTCCAATCGATTTCAGCTAAATGATTCCGAAGGGCAATAAAATCAGTCATTTTGAAGCATTTGAAACGAGGTTTAGCATTAAAGCAAGCATCATTGTGAGGCACATCAATTAACACCGATGCTAATAGTGTAGGGTGGTGAATGTCTTCAGGAAGCGATAGCGGCGGGGACCGAATGACTGTCACAGAGGATGACACATTAGAAAAAATAAGGTCCAGAAATCTGCCATGAGTGTTATGAATTGGATTAATTTGGAGCAGGGCAAGATCGGTTAAGCCATCGATAAAGTCGTTATGACAACTGGAAAGCAAGGATTGTCTACGTCAGACGGGATCCAGGAAATGATGGGAAGGTTGAAATCTCCCATGATTAG